GGGGGGGGGGGGGGGGGGTGGTGCGTGTGTGGTGGGAACAAGCAGTAAAATTTCATTATCATAGAAGATTAGTGAAGAAATAGCTAGAAAGCCTAGTAGGTTGTCATCTGATTCATGAATTTGCAGGTAATATTGTTAGTATGTTACTGTAACAAGCAGGAAGGAGATAAATTCTGAACAAGGGAAGATTTTGCATACGTACCTTCAGTAGAATGGCATCTGCAGAAGGGATAGATTCAAACATATCACCAGCAATAAATTTTATATTCTGAGAACTCTCCGGCAAGTTAGCCACCACGTGAGGGAGCTCAAGCACTGTGCATTTCAAGTGAGGGTATGCCTCTGATATGATCTTGACAATTGATCCGGTTCCACCTCCGACATCAACAAGTGAATTCACGTGTTCAAAGACTTGCTTGCAGTCTTTGACAACCAAATTCATCATCTGAGAATCACTTGCCATTGCTTCATGGAAAAGGTTCTTGAATTCAGGGTTTTGATCCATGTAGTCCCAAAACGCCAGGCCATGTACACTCTCGAAAGCGGTGAGCTTCTCCCCCTTCATCCAGTCTCCTAAGAACTGCCAGGGAGTCACCAAAGCAGGATCAAACATCGCGAGAACAAAAGGGGACAAGCAATTGGGCTGATCCTTGAGGAGAACCTTAGAAGCAGGAGTCAGAACATACGCTTCCTCTTCTTTGTCTCCTTGAAATTTTCTTGTAGTAGCAAAGAAGCCTGAGTGGACCAACATCCGCATGAGCCGGTACACACAGTTAACCTTGGTTGGATGAATAGGAAGGGCAGAGACCAACTCCGAAAGAGTGATGGGTCCGCCATGGCTGTGGATTATATCAGGTATGCCCAGCTGAACTGCACACTTGAGAGACATAGAACTTATGAAATTAAATATGTGCTTATATAAATGAGCTTGACCCTGAAACAACTCCTTTGCTCCTTCATCCATACCTCTGAAACAAGTGCTAATCACTTTGCTTGATCTGAGTTTAGAGAGGGAGTCTTGGTCTGCTTTGGTTTGGTTTATCCACATGCATAAGCAGACAATTTCCATCAGTCTCCAAGATTATCTGAAATAGCCGGTTTGGAGGACTCTTGACCACATCGACCATTCAGCATTGTGGGGAAGCTTCTCCTTAGGAAATTTCTTGGTCAGATGGAGCAACCCCTGACTTTTCCAATGTTTCATCAAATAGCTTTAAAGCCCGGGAACTGCTTCAGTCAACATTATGCAAGTGGGAAATGACTGAGTAAGAAATCATTTTTTCTTTGTTCCATGAGTGAAAACACCATTGTGGGGTATTATTTTCGACCCCCAACTCCTCTTCCCCTATCTTTGTTATAGAGATAATATTTTTAATTTTTATATTATCTTTTTATATAATTTTCACATATTATTATATAAATAAATATATTTAATATCATAAATATTATATGAATTAAAAAAATCAATCATTTAAATAATACATTAAGTTATACAAAAAAATGATATAAAAAAATTATCTTAAAATTATTTTCCTATTAGAAATATATAATATTTGTAGTGGGTAATTAGCTTGTTAAAAAGAAAAAATAAAAAAATAAAAAAGAAAGAAAGAAATCATTTTTTCTCTCGGGGAAATGACCGGGTGAAAAATCTCAATTGTGAATTTGTGATGGCCTCGACTCGACAGTCCAATCTGCAAGCCCAAACGTGTAGGCCGTCACCGCCACAAATTAAGAGGGCCCTAAAAACAAAGTCCAATTACCAATTAGGCCTTACAGACCGGTGCTTGTTCATCTTCCTCCTGTTGTTATGTTTTCATTGGAAACCGATCCGATCTCCATTGTGGTTTTGTGAAGATCGGTGGTAGCGGGATAAGAATCGATTTCTGTCGCTGATCGGAAATTCTGTTCTTCAGTTGTTTTCAGGTTAGTTACTTCCCTTCCACCGGAGATGTCTTCGGCTCAAGATCCGTTCTATATCGTAAAAGAGGAGATTCAAGAATCTGTAAGCTTGATTTCGAAATTTCTATTTTAATCTTAGTTGATCTCCTAGATAAATTTCTGTTTTCAATTTTTTTTTTGTTAGAATGTTTCAATTGGATGACATTATGGTTGCTTGATTTGTTAGATTGATAAGTTACAATCTAGCTTTCGACAATGGGAGCGAATTCCTCCTGATACTGGAGAGAGAGTGAGTCTCTCCAAAGAGCTGCTTGCTAGTTGCGAGAGCATTCAGTGGCAGGTACTTATGATCATTCCAATTTACTTGGAATCTGAATTTTTTTGTTTTGTTGCATGTTTTCTTGAAATGATTGAATTTTGGGATGGTAATCTGTGTTTCTCTGTGTCGATTTAATGTGATTGCTTCTGAGAGGCTTCTTGTTGATAGGAAGGTGGATGAATTGGACAAAGCAATTGCTGTGGCAGCTAGAGACCCTGCATGGTATGGGATTGATGAAGTTGAACTCGAAAAACGGAGAAGGTGGACTAGCACTGCGCGTACCCAGGTATCATTTGTTGTCTTAGGGGGGGTTTACCTAAACTGAAGATGTGTTAGTAATTTTATTTATTAAATAGCTTTCCAGTTGAAGAATTTTGATATTGTTCCCATCAGTAGTCCTTGTTTTTTCTAATGTTATTTATGCCCTAAAGGGTTCCTGTCTATTTTCAGGTAGGGAATGTGAAGAAAGTTGTTATAGCTGGGAAGGAGAATGGTAATAGTGCAAGTGCCATGCACCGAGAATTGATGAAGCTTCCCAATTCTCACCAGCCTGATAGATCCAACCAATACTATGACCAAGATAATGATGATTTTATAGCATCAGAATCAGATAGACAAATGCTGCTTATAAAGTAGAGTCATTTTCTTACCTTACCATCTCATTTTATTGCATTGTTATATTTGTATTTGTTTGTCACTTATGTATGCTGACATTAAATTTCTGCCTGTTGGCTTTCTTGTTTCTGCTGATCACTTCACAAGTTCACATGCTATTTGCTTTTTCTATTGGATGAAATACCTAGTTCTAGCTTTTTTAGATTGAACTTATGGAGTTGCTTGAGTTTTCTACCTTAAATGTTTTTTAACTAAAGCTTACCTTTATTTTTGTAACACTTTTATAAAATGAACCATCTTCTGGCTGTGTTCCCTTTTTACTTTATTTATCCACTTTTGATATTTGCCATACTTCTTGCTTGCGTTTTATATTATAATAGAGTAAAAACATTTTTGTGTTACTGTTCCAATTCTTGTAGTTGTTTTTGTTGCAGTTTGTGAGACGAGTACTATTGAATTCTACATTCTCCATAGTTAAGAGGCTTTTTTGTTAAAATAAATTTAAAAATGATGTTTTGTCTTATATAAATTCATTTCAAATGTGTAATCTGCACTGCTACTTTTGTTTATGGGATTTCACTATTTTTGAACTTTGTTGTGGTACAAATGAAAGATAATGAATGTAAGTATGGAACTGGCTTCATGCAATACAAATTTTTTTTCTTTTCTTAGTTTCTTATACTGGTCAATTCTTATTATATAGACAGCAAGACGAGGAATTGGATGAGCTTAGTGCTAGTGTTCAGAGAATTGGTGGTGTTGGACTTACCATACATGAAGAACTCCTTGCACAAGTGAGTGATTATGGCTGATCTCCTATGTAGCATCCCTGCAATTTTTCTTACTGGATTAGCAAGCAAGCTCAATGTGCACTTTGTGCATAAAATTGTGTTGAATTACATAATTAATTGACAATTCTTTTTTATATGTCTTTGTTTGTAATTTCTCATTCTAAAATGTGAATCATTTTATGCTTTAGGAGAAGATCATAGATGAGTTGGGCAATGAAATGGAAAGTACATCAAATCGCCTGGATTTTGTTCAGGTCATTTTCTTCCTCTAGCTGAGCATTTCCTACAAGGGTAGATTTGAAAGCCATTCTGTGTTTTGAAATTTAAGACTTGTGCCTTTTGTTTCCAGAAGCTAACTTGAGCTCGAACACGCAGTGCAGTAATTTTAAACTTGAGAATTTTAATTTGGTGGAAGTTACTATTTTTTCTTGCAGAAAAAAGTGGCCATGGTCATGAAGAAGGCCGGTGCCAAGGGCCAGATTATGATGATACTGTTTTTGCTTGTTTTGTTCATCATTCTATTCATTCTGGTCTTCTTTACCTAGTCCAAGACTCAAGAGAAGAGTCCATTCTCTGATGTACATACATGAGAGACAGATGGTCAATGGAATTAACTATGGAGCTTCTATCAGGCACACAAAAGGTAATGAACAAAAGAATTCACTTGTGAGATCTTGCAGTGTTGAATAAGAGTGCGTTTGGGATTGTGGTTGAAAGTGTTTCTTTGTAACTGTACGATGCTTTTAAATATAGGTATGTTTGATAATTTTTTTTTAAATTACTGTTTTTAGAAGTTGCAAAAAGTCATAAGTTTATATACTATCTGTAATTTTTACAGACAACATCTAAGATTTAATATAATTACAAAGTTACTCCATTAAAACCCAACCATGTATAACTTAATTACATAATAATTTATAATATATTATTTAATCTTAAGTCTTTGTTTATTTAAAGATTTTATAAAAAATTAAAAATCCATTCCCTCCTTATGAGTTGCATTTCTATGAAACTAAGAAAAACACCCATCATAACAAACCTAAAATACCTAAATTATTAAGTAATGATAAATATTACCTATTTTAATAATTATGCATCAAATAATATTTTTTAAAATTTTAATTAATAATTAATAAAATTTATTATATTTCATTTATAATACTTTTAAAAATAAACAATTAAATATCAAAATAACTTTTAATTAAAGTTACAATATAGTTTAGTTCAGTTATAGCACCCCATAGCAATCTTAAATGCACTCTAAATATTGTTTTCGATATGCTAAAGGAAGAAAGGTCTAAGTTTTTAAGTTAGTTTTAACAATAAGACAACTTATATAATATCCACCCCTTTAATTTTTCGTTTGCATGGGGTGTTAATGTAATTGTCTGTGCCTTAGAGATATCTAGGTCTTATAGAATCCATTTTGGGATGCATTTTTAGGGCTTTCCACACTAGTTCACTGATCAATATTATGTTGTTATTGGATTTCTATTGCTCTTGATATGGAATCAGCTCTTAGTTGTCCCCTGCTTTCATTCTTAAATAACAATTACCATTACAGATAATTCTGGAAGTTTAAATATCTAAACTCATCTGCCTTTTTTTCTCCAAACATATAGACGTCTCGTTCATATCCACGTGCAGTGGGCACAGCTGGGGCAGATCATCTAAGCCTCCAAATGGATACAGCCAAGTGTGGGGTTGATACCCCACACCTATTCTCCCCTGTAACCAAAATTAGACTGAACACGTTCATCCGTACCCCTTTAGTCTTCCAACCAAGAACGAATGAGATTTGTGGATTTGTCAAGGCCTAATTTTGATCTAAAATATTGAACTGGCCTTGTTAGTTGTTGGTGTGGTAGTTCGCCAGCCAAGCTTAAGACTCGTGATCGGTTAAGTCCTTGACCCTAAGCAAAGGCAATGACACTATGACTTTCCTATTCTCGTTGTAATTGTTATTGTTAAAAAAAATTTAAATTAAATAATTTGAGGATTAATAGTTAACAGTTGAAGATGAAAAGTTTATATATATATATAAAAACAATTTACGGATTAAATTTTAAGAAAATAACCAAAAACAATTAAAAGTTTTAACTTAAATCTTAAGATCAGTGAAATTTTTATTTTTATTTTTTTTTTAATAGGGTTGCATTTTGAGGAAGAAGAATGGGAAGGATTCAATCTCTAGATTGATGAGAATTCTTATATGAAGAGTTACCACTACTCTTCTAAAAAATTCTCATGTCAATGAAATTAAAAAAAAGAAGTTAAAAAATAAAAATTATAGAATCCCAACAGGGCAAGATATATTGCTAAGAGAAACTGAACAGTTTTTTGTTTAGTGGCGGATTTAGATTCCATCATCCAAAATCTTGGAGCAATGATTTGGCCCTAACAGCATCTTTAAACCTTTTAACTAGGGTTCATTTTCTCTCTCTAATACCAGTCTTAAGTACTAAGTTTTCAAAGAACCAGAAAAAGAAAAGCGAAGCAATTGATTTGACAACTACTGAAGTACATCAACCCCATTCTCCTTTTGGTGAAATGAAAATGAATCTTAAATTGCAGGGGTTCCATGAAATCTAAAACTGAAAAACGAAAGTATTTTCTTTTCCATAAAGCTTCTTAAGAGTGCAGATAACCATCTCATTACAGTTGCTGCATCCTCTATTCGTCCTCATCCATTAAACCGAATTTACAAAAACCGATCAGGAAATCTACTGTTTGGCAGCAGAAAAAAATTGTTATCAAACCCTAAAACACTCAACATATCATGACTTTCCCTATCAATCATGCCTCTAACATACCTAAATTCTTCCACATGACAAAGGCTTTTGTGATTGCACCCTTCATATCGAACTCGTACTTTTCCTCAGATTCCTTCAATTTGCTCCATACACTACAAATCTCTGCTGCTTTCTCCTCTTACCAGACCGCCCTTAGGCACATCTATCCTCTCACTTTCTTCCCCCCCCACCCCATGATGATGGTGATGAAGATGAAGGTGAAAGCTCCTCAGATTTTTCTTGAAAGTAAGGGGAGGTGAATAGAAAACAAAACCCTAGTTTCGATTGTTTTTCCCGAGTAGGGAAACGGCCAAGGATTCAGATCACCTAGAGAAGGTAGTCAAGAGGGTGAGGAGCCTCAGATATCAACATGAAACATGTACATAAGAACCAGAAAAAGAAGATGTCTTAAAAAGGAGGGGAAGGAATAGGGAGCTTACGAAAAAGATGTAAGCTCCCTGCATGCAGCCCTACTTTTACCACCACAACCCTTCTCTAAAAACCTCCATCCTCCATTTACCCTGAAGCTAAAAGTGAATTATTCATATGTAGAACGAAGACACCAGCTAGCTAGAAAGACCTCTTCTAACTCTTTTGGTTAATTTGCACGGCTCGTACCAACTAAATTTTGCAATTTTTGGATTTCCCTCAATAGCTTTTCGAACTTCCATTTCCCATTGATGCATTTTTGTCTCGTTTTCTAATCATAGAAATTTCCTTTTGACACTCTGGCAATGATCTCTGGCAGATCTGCAATTGTGTAGCAATGGCGTCCCCTTTCACCATTGGATCTCTAGAACTCGCACCATCCTTATGCCCATTTCCCATGGTCTTGGACGTATCTGAACCACAATTCTTTGAGCCTGATCCACCAGGATGATTTTTTTGTGGCCCATTCTTGAAGATCTCTTGGGAACCCTTATCATTCGAACCGATTTCTCCATCTGCCTCCCTACAACCGTCTTGCTTTGAACCCAAAGAACATGTTTTCTGAGCAGTTTGAATGGATTCAGATTTCCTATTCCTAGTGAGAATCTTCTCCTCTCTCCTTTCCTTTTCATCACCCTTACAGAGACCTTTATCAGGCAGTTCTCCTTCTGACCTTCCATTGACAACTGCAGAATCCTTATCAGAGACTTCTTTTCCATTGCATATCAAAGGAAAACTCACATTAGCAGG